GCAAAGTCCCCCATTGACTCAAATGGGGAATCACATGGCTCACAGTGCTTTGAAGCAGCAGGGGTTAATATCCGGTGTTTTGCTTCCATCTCACAGGCCTATATTTAGGTGCCTTTCTTTCCTTCTGGGTTTGCTTCCTCTCCCCCCACCCCTCCCCTTTCCCCTCCTGATCTAATCTTTGCCTGCTCGGTGTCAGCGGTTTTCTCTATGTGGCAGAGGACTTTGTGCCGGGAGGGGCCGGGGCAGCACTCGGTGAAGGAGGATCAATGGCAGGGAAAGGATTTGGGCACCTGGCTGCATTTCATAGTCACGGCTGCATCGGGAGAGGGGAATCGCTCTGCTGTCATTGGAGGCAGCTCTCTAGCCCTCCCAAATGCAAAAGCAGAGCTGTTCCCCCCAGCCCCGCACCCATGCACAGACTCATCCATAACTCCCCTGTCTGCAGACAGGTGCCCCGACAACCTGGGCACCCCCTTCTTGGAACCGGCACAGATGTGACTTCTACCCCCCACGCTCCCGCCGCGCTGTGTGGCAGGGGAAGCTCCGTCTCCAGGGCAGACTTCGAGCCGGTCAGACCAAAGCGGCCACCCTCACAGCACTGCTCAAGTTGCTTCTTCACTACTTTGTGCCTCAGTTTCCCTATCCCGCAAGGCGCTGCTCTGCGGCCCCTCTGATGGGGGGAGGCTTTGCTCTGTCTGTAAGGCAGCTGCCTCTGGGGGGGAGAGTGTCAAGCAGCACAAGGCACAACGGGGCCAGGCCATCAAGGCAGGGCTCCAGCTCTTGCTAGGAGTTGGCGGAGGGGTTTAAAGTCCAGCTGGGGCTCCCGGGAGGGCTGCCCAGAGGAAGCTCCATGACGTGACTTTATTCTCCAAGGTGTACGGCAGGTGCTGAATCAGCCTCAGCAGGGCTGGACTCCGCTGCCAGGAGGGCCCTGATCTCTCTCGCGGCCTCCAAGTGATGCTCAAAGGCGCCCTGGCAGGACAACGAAGCGGCTCCCTTCCCGCGCAGACGTGGCCAGGACACCTGGTTCTGTGCGTAGGGTGGCCGGTCCAGCCACTTCACCGCTCCTCGGGCCTCTGCAGAACAATGCTGGAAAGGCTCTCGGCGGAGGGGGATGAGGGTCTAATTCATCGCTAGGCGAGAGGCATCTCGAGAGCCGTGGGAAGGCGGCACGGGGTGAGCGCCCCTTTCAGATCCCCCCCTCCCCTGCCAGGGAGAGGACCTGCTCCCTGCCTGGCCAAGACGCAGGGAGCACGGCCGTCCTTGAAACCCAAGGCCTGGCTGTCAGCGCCTCCGGCTGCCTTATCACTGGGATTATCGGCTTTTTATATTAAACTTTCCCCAGATAGTGTAACGGCATCGACTGCATGCTTGGCAGAGGCCTGTCAGGCCACACGTTGATTTATAAACAGCCTGTCTCCACCATCTCTCAGCCTCTCGCACACACAGGCTGCTATTTCCCCCACACCCAGCCATCGCTTTCATTAAAATCAAACCTTGCCGCTGCCTTGCGCAGCAAAGAGGAACCCCCACCTTTAGCCCCCGACAGGAAGCAAATGTTCTCCGCGAGAGCGGGAGGACTGGGCCTCCTGCCACCACCGCCTTCCCCGCTGTTTCGCAGCACGCTCCTGAAAGGCCGCCGCGTTCCCACCCCAGAGGCGGCTGCATTCGCGGGACGAGGGAAGGGCTTCCTGGACGCAGACGGTCTGCACGGGAGGAGAGTGCCTGACACTCGATCGCTGGAAAAATCCTGCCTGTAGTCACATCCCAGATGCACCTTTCCCCCTAAAATTAGCAGCTGAAAACTGGGCTATGCATCTTAAACAAGGAGACGGATTCTGGGTGGTTTGATTGAAAGGGGAAATCCTTTTTTTAGTTCTTCTTCATTCTGAGTTCCTAAAACGTGGTGTGTGTCTTGGGGGGTGGGGTTGGGGCACTGATAAGTATGGGGCTCCCTCCCTGACTCCCTCTGTCGCTGAGGCTGTGGACACATTACTGGCCACATTACTCCCTTTGCAAGCCAAGGGGACCGGGAGAATCTCATTTGAAGCGGAGAAGTTGGGGAGCCCCGGCAGCCAGCGGGGAGCTGCTGGTCCAGATTTAGTTGAGGGGTGAGGGGGGATGAGCTTGCAGGCACTGCTAGCTACACGCACGCCCCCCTCCCGGTGCTTACGTAGCCCCCACCAGACTAAGTGCTGCCTGCAGAGGGGCAGGAAAAACATGTCCCCTCTAAACAGGTTATTCCAGCATGGCCTATTATCAGATTTCTCGCAACTTCCTCTGAACATCTGGGCCGCCGTCAGAGACAGGATATTGGACGAGATGGATTGTTGGTCTGATCCGCTGCGGCAAGTCCTCTGTTCCTTCCACACGCACGCGCCCCCCTCCCTTCCCCTCCCCAGAGCCGCTAAGACTCTGCCTCAAGTATCTTGATTGCAAAACCAGATCGTTAAAAAAAAAAAAAAAAAATTGCTCCCCCCAGCCGATCCAAACACGCTCCCCCCAGAAGGAGAAGGCGAGGCGGCTCTGCTGCTTCTTGGCTCTGCTTCTTGGCTCTTCCCGGGACAAAGCCAACAGCGGCGTTTTGAGGTTGCGATTGAATGCAAACCACAATGCCCTACGTTTGAGCTGCCCCCAGCCCCACTCTTACAAGAGGTGGGGTCTGCTGTGTCCACCGGCAGGCAGCATCTCCCCCGCTCTGACCAGACTCAGCAGGGACTGGGCTTCCAAGGTAAAGGCTGGTCTGTTTTCTCCCTCTCTTACGCCGTCAGCTGGGGTAATGCAACATCCCATCATCCCCCAAGTCCCAGCAGCTGGACACACCACGTACCTCCAGAATCACCCATCCCATCTGCCGGAGAACCACACTCCGCATCTGCTGGAGAATCTCCCCTAGCAGTTAGCAGTGTGGGGCCCATGACACGCAATAGGGCTGGTCCCGTGGTGCTCCGTGCCGGCTAGCCAGTTTGTCACCCAGCTTCCTCCCAGTCAGAGGCCTGCTGCGACGGGTCATTTCTGCACGGCTCGGGGCCCTGCAGTGCTGGAGGCACGGGGCGCTATTAGCAGTTTCTTTATAAACCAGTCGTGCTCAACCTATGCAGCCCCGTGGGCCGGATGAGCGGAGCGAGATCCACTGTGGGCTGGATCCGTGCAGGGTTGGGTGTGATCTCCCGTGCAGAAGCTTCCTATGGGCTGGATGACACAGCTCCGTGGGCTGGATCTGGCCCATGGGCTGTGGGTTGAGCATCCCTGCTAATAAAGCAAAGACTTTTGGCTGTTCAACATGAACCCCCGCAAGCGCAATCGGAAATGGGCCACTCCAGCATGCACAGTCTGCCCCTGGGAACACAACCCCCAGCACAGAGGAGCCTGCCTGGGGAGGTGAGGGTGGGAGAGGGAAGGATCCTTACGGCTAGTCGGTCCCCCTCCACCTTCCCTTCTCTGATTCCCCTCCATCGATGACTTGGAATAACCCCATAACTCTCTGGGGAAGCCTTTCTCCCGGCTCCCTTTGCAGTGCTGCGCGTGCAGGGTGATTAGGGGGTAATTATCTCCCATTTAGGCACTGAGGTGCAAGGAACATTTCACACTCCTTGCAGGAAGCGGAGAGAGGCTTTGCAGCCGAACCTGCAGGGATCGAGCTGTGCCAGCCCCAGCCGAGGCTCCCCCATTGCCAGCCAGGCCTGGCACGGCCAGACAGGGACCCGGGCCAAGAAGCTAGCAGCACCGTCGAGGTGCTTAACAGGAAACAAACAGCGGCCAGGAGAGATAACAGCACAGAGAAGGTCTAGCCGAATCACGCTGAACCCTCGACCACAGAGAGGCCGGCTGCGATGTTGAATTCCCACGAGCAGCTATTTAAACACACGTTACCCAGAGGAAACCCAGGCAGGCGTGATCTCCGCAGAGAGGAGGCCAAGGCGGCGGTAGTAACAGGGAGAAGGAAGCAAGCTGCTAGCTCCCCACTCGCTGCATGAAGGCGGGAGGCCGGCGCCCTCCTCCATGCCTCAGTTTCCCCATGGGTGGAATGAGACTGAGAGGCTGCGAAGGGATCATACCATCGGACCCCCTCTCCCCACAGGGCTGAGGGCGTCATGCAACAAGTCCCACGGCAAAGTCGAGGCGGCCTGAGAGCAGGGAGCGCTCGTCCACCGCACAAGGAGGCCACGATCTGAACATCCCTAAATTGTTTTGAGCTCCAAAAAGTTGGTCTTAGATCCACCACCATTTCTCCAGGCTAGATTCCTTCCTGACCTCTGCTTAGGAGTCTCTTGCACCCAAAAGCACGAGCATCGACAGCTCACGCCTCCTGAGTTTAGTTCCTTCCCCGGCCCGAATCCTAGCTGCTGCCTGGCTCCTTGATCCGGATTTAGCTCCAAACGAAGCTGAGTGCAGGTTAAGGTGCAGATCCTTATGTGGGGGGAAGGAGATGAGGAAAAGGGGAGAGTCGTCTTGTGGTTTCAAATGCTCCCATGGCATGGGGTGTAGGAGCCCCATGCGTCTCTCCCGTGCCAGCAGCCTGGCCTCTCTGAAGCATGTTCCCCTTCATGGTGGGAAGCACAACTCCACTTCAAAGCAATTTTCAGGCCAGGAGATTTCCTTGGGCTATGTCCAAGCCCCTGCTTTGTGCCCCACAGCTGCCTTTCCACCTAGGATTGAGCCTCACGCCCTTGCCAGGCAGGGTGCAGTTTATCGGTGGGGAAACCGAGGCTGGTAGGGGGGAAGGGAAATGCCTTTATTCAATGTTACCTGGTCCATACTGGGATACCTGTGGTGAGGAGGGGGCTGGAGGTTTCCAGTCGATCCCTTATGCCAGCACATCCCTTAGCGTGGATCCAATTTGTCTGCATAAAGGGACCCCTGGGTTCTCACGTGATAATAGCTATTGGAGGAAAGTGTTAATGAGCTGCAGGGATGAGCTTCACCTCCCTACACCTGTGCTGGAAGGAGGACTTAAAAGCAGGGAGCCCAGCTCAAGGCTAGGGTGTTGGTGTCTCTTGGCTTGGTTTTGGGTGCTGGCTTTCTGTCCAGGGCATGGCTGGGTTGGGCCAGCTCCTAGGTAGGACTTGGGGAAGTTGAGGCACAGCTGCTGCAGGGTGCTGCGAGGATGTGCATGGGGCTGGTTTGCCAGCCAAGCAGTCCCTCAGGCCAGGTGCCCATGCAGGAGATGAGATGGCTCCAGCTAGGCTAGCATGGCCCAGACCTTCCTGGCACTTGAGGCTGCCTTCTTGGATGGCAGGCATCCGGGGAACCCCGTCCTGCACCCAGGACCCTTGTGTCGAGCTGAAGCCCCTGAAAGGTGGTAAGTTCCCTGCTCCGCTGGGGATCTGTGCCCCTCATGGGTCATCCTCGCTGGTACACAGGGCTCTTAATCTTGATGTTAAATCCACCCGGCTCCCAGGCCCGGCTGTGGGCTCTTCTTAACCCTTGAGCTGTAAGAGACATCCAGCTCTACCTTGTCTCCACATCCAATGCAGCCCGGTTGGGGCACAGACACAAGCCCTCGGTGGCTCAGGGATGGACCCAGGACTCTGGGTGCTGATTTCCCCACCCCCAGCTGCTGGACAACAGTGCTTTGAGGGCACAAAGCCATGCCATGCTGGGTACCTTGGTTTTTACCAAGGAGCATGCAGCTGCCAGGGCAGGGGAAAAGCCCCTTGCTTCTCGCAGGCTTGAAATGCAGACCCCAGGCGAGCATCTGCAAAGGGCTCAGCGCTCCGCCACGATGCATGCCCTTTGCACGCTGTAATTGTTGCCTGTATATAGATCCCCTGGGTGTAGAGAGCTGTGTCCGGGAGAAACATGCAGCTTGCTGGCAGCAGGTGGGGGCGATGGCGGGGAGAGTGCCAGGGAGACCTGGGCTAAGAAAGGGGAGGAGGCTAAGGTGAAGCATGGGGATGAAGGAGTGATTTGCCAGGGAGCTCGAGGCTTGATGGTCTAAAGCTCTACCCCTGCCCCAAGAGCTGCACAAATGGGCATCACAGTCACAGCAGAATGGGCGATAGTCTCTGTCCTGGTGCCAGCGGCTCGTCCAGAGATGCTGAGCCCAAGCTGCCGAAAGCCTGGAGGAGAAGGACCAAGACTTTGAACTGGGCTCTTAAGTAGAGAGAACTAAGTGGTCTGAAGTCAGGCAGAAAGCAGGGTAGGTTTGCCCCTTATAGACTATAAATCGGAGATGTCTAGCATGAGCTTTCATGAGCTTGAGCTCGCTTCCTCAGATGCTGGCTCGAAGCGCCGGAGAACCCTTCCTTCTCCCGCAGCCCAAAGGCAGCACTTTATCCCCCGCCCCGTGCCAGTGGGGAGCTGGTTTCTGAGCAGGGGAGGGCTGTCATTTTCTGGCGCAGGGGGTGGGAAATGCAGGGCCTTTTATTCCTGCCTCCATCTCGCCGCAGCTCCTGTGACCAACATGTTTTTCCCCTTCACAAAAACGCGAGTGAATGAAAAACCTGTTTTCAATTAAAGTTGGGAGACGCTGATTTTAAAAACATGATTTGCGTCTAAAGCATCTGTCCCAGCGCCCTCCCTCTTTCCTCTCCCCCGCCCCCCAGTCTTGCCCCATGCTTGTCCCTCTCGCTCCTGCATTTGGGGCTGGTACATCTGGCCACAGTCCTTGGCTCCCGTGGGACCGTTCTGGGGGCGGGGTGGGCCAGGCTGGGGTCTGTCCATCCGCAGCCAGTTCACAGCAACCTCCCTCTGGGCCTCGCGCGTCTGCTGTCTACATGTCGGCAGAAGGGCTGTTTCTGCGGTGGTGGAAATGTCTCATCCTGGTTCTATGCCAGAGGCTACTTCCCTTGATCCTAAGCTGTGTCTCCTGCTGGTCTCTGGTTAGGACTGATCACAGCCTGAGGTGGTGTTTAAAATGATTTCCCCAGCAGACACGGTGTGATGGCAGTGGCTAACTGCAGGTGCGGCAAGCGACGCGTGGAGCAGGGGCCGAGGCATTGAGACTCGCTGGAGGAATGTTCGCCGCTTAAAACTTTATTTTAAATGGAAATCAGCAAGCTGTGGGGGCCCGGATCAAAGCCCCGCTTCCCCCTTTAACGGCGCCCTGCGGTTCA